ATGAGGACTTTTTCCTTCAGGCTGCCATGAGATTCTATCCTTAAGTAAAGGAGATGGTCTCTCTGAGCTGCTTTTTCAAATTTCACACAAGCCATTCAACTGAAGCCATAGATTTCAAGATTCAAGGCCAGCCTTGCCTTTGGTAGATTGCCTTGCCAGGTGTTCACAATCACATCATCAGAACACATATAAGACTTTTCGTTGAGAAAGCCATGTTAATCCCAAGTCTCTGCTATGACTGGGAGATGTAGGTGACCTATAGAAAACACCAGCATTTTCTTTGGAAAATCCACAACAAAACATGGGGGGATCAATCACCTCAGTAATGCCTCCTTTAGAATTGAGGTCTTGGTTATCCAGCACCAGCTAAGGTAGAGTGGGCACTGTGTGCACATGTCTAAGGGTGTGTCTAGACTACCTAGTTTTGTCGACAAAAGTGGACTTTTGTCGACAAAACTATACCAGCGTCTACACTACCGCTGAGTTCTGTCGACATAACGTCGACAGAACTCAGCAGTTTTGTCGACGCTGGTATACCTCATTTTACGAGGCATAACACCTTCTGTCGACAGAACTCTGTCGACAGAAGGTGTTATTGCCTGTAACATTGCGTCCAGACTACGGAGGTCTGTCGACAAAGCAGCTTGCTTTGTCAACAGAACTCAATGTGTCTGGACGCTCTTTGTCGACGGAAGTTTTGTCGACAGTATCTGTCGACAAAACTTCCGTCGACAAAACGCGGTAGTCTAGACGTACCCTAATATATTTTTTTAAAACTGCTTCCTGCCCAACTCGCCAAAGGAGAAAGGAAACAGGGAAGCCAAAGGAATGTTTTACAGCAGTGTTTCTCAAACTTTTTTTTTTATAAAGTACCCCTTTTTCAAAAAACAAATTATAAGTACCCCCAATGCACACACCCTCCCTCAGAGCCAGGCATCCCCAGCCCACCACTCTAACCCAATACACCCATCCCTCCCCCAGAGCTAAGCACTCTGGCCCTCCCCACTCCAACCTAATGCCCCTCCTCCAGAGCCAGGCACCGTCAGCCCCTGCTCTAACCCAATTCCCCTCCTCAAGAGACAGGCACCTCCAGCCCCCTCTCTAACCCAATGCACCCCCTCCCCCGCTCCAACCCAATGCCCCTACCCCAGAGCCAGGCACCCCAGCCCCCACTCACTCCAACCCAATGTCTCTCCCACAGAGCCAGGCACTCCCAGCCCACTTGCTCTAACCCAATGCTCCTCCCCTCCCCCAGAGCCCAATGGTAGCCAAAGGGAGGGGATGAAGGTTTTTTAGAGATGTGATTTTATACTCTTCAGCAACACACTAATGAAATATTTTAAGGCAAATTTTAAACTAAGTCCCTGTAGACTAACGTAGTAAATTCAGAAACTGACAATATATATCTGGGGTTGGCAATAGGAATGCTTATTGGTTAACGGTCCTGGTTAACTGCAAAATCCACACACAAACATACGATGTGCTCTACATTTAAAACTTGGACCAGCCTGCTCGTCTGAGTTTTAAAGGAAGAGCACACAGGGGAGCCACCTGCTGCCTTGCGCTGCCGCCTCTGATAGAACTGCCACAGAGTCGCCTCTGTACACAGTGGGCTCAAGATCACCACGGAAAGAGGCTGCTCCATGGATGTTGGAGCAGCCTCTGTCTGCAGGGAACTTGGGGCTCTACAGCATTCTACCTGTAGGTCAAGTAGTGGCAATCAATTCATGTGTTCTTTACTATGAAAGAAGGATGAAAAGCACTTCTCAAAATCAAATGTACACTATTCAAAGTCTTCTGACAAAAAGCAAAAATAAAAATGGTTTGGCATACCTGATAGTCTAAGGTTAAAATAAAGAAACAAAAAGCCTTTTTTTAAAAAGGAATCTCTGTCTCCCAAGAACCTAAAGAAAGTACTTTTTTTATTTTTTGATCATCCTTAAATATAACTTTAGAAAGAAGATCCATTTATAAAACTAACAAATTATTTTAAAAGGTATTGTCAAGTTATCAGATTAAAACACATTAAAACACAGACTGGCTAACCTTGTGAGGAGGGCTTTAAACTAGGTTTGTCGGGGGCAGGTGAGCAAAGCCCACAGGTAAGTGCTGAATGTGTGGGAGGCTGAGTTTGGAAGCAGAGAGAGCAGGGGACACTGCCCCCCTAGTCTTTTAAAAGAAGAATGAACAGTTCTTCCCTGTTCATGTTTTTGTTTCTTCAACAGGGAAGAGTGGGCAGGTCTAAGACAAACATGCTGAGCACATTCTGTCAGGAAGGACAGACAGGGAAAAAAGGGAGGAGGGGTTGCCTTGTATATTAAAAATGTACACACTTGGACTGAAGTGGAGATGAACGTAGGAGATAGCTGTGTAGAGAGTCTCTGGGTTAAGCTAAAAGGGGTAAAAAACGAGGGTGATATCATGCTAGGAGTCTACTACAGGCCACCTAGCCAGGTGGAAGAGGTGGATGAGGCCTTTTTTAAACAATTAACAAAACTATCCAAAGCCCAAGATTTGGTGGTGATGGGGGACTTCAACTATCCAGACATATGTTGGGAAACTAACACAGCGAGGCACAGGCTATCCAATAAGTTTCTGGACTGCATTGGAGACAACTTTCTGTTTCAGAAGGTTGAAAAAGCTACCAGAGGAGAAGCTGTTCTGGATTTGGTTTTAACAAATAGGGAGGAACTAGTTGAGAACTTGAAAGTGGAAGACAGTATAGGGGACAGTGATCATGAAATAATAGAGTTCATGATCTTAAGGAAAGGTAGAAGGGAGACCAGCACAATTGAGGTTATGGATTTCAGGAAGGCAGATTTTGATAAGCTCAGAGAACTTGTAGGTAAGGTCCCATGGGAAGCAAGACTGAAGGGAAAAACAACTGAGGAGAGTTGGAAGTATTTCAAAGGGACGTTGTTAAGGGCCCAAAAGCAAACAATTCCGCTGTGTAGGAAAGATAGAAAATATGGCAAAAGACCAGCTTGGCTTAACAAGGAGATCTTGCATGATCTCAAAATAAAAAAGGAGTCATATAAAAAATGGAAACTAGGACAACTAACAAAGGATGAATATAGGCAAGCAACACGGGAATGCAGGGGCAAGATTAGAAAGGCAAAGGCACAAAATGAGATCAAACTAGCTACAGGCATAAAGGGAAACAAGAAGACCTTTTATAAATACATTAAAAGCAAGAGGAAGACCAAGGACAGGGTAGGCCCACTGCTTAGTGAGGAGGGAGAAGCAGTAACAGGGAACTTGGAAATGGCGGAGATGCTCAATGACTTCTTTGTTTCGGTCTTCACCGAGAAGTCTGGAGGTGTGCCTAACGTAGTGAATACAAGCAGAGAGAGGGTAAGTTTAGAAGATAGGATACACAAAGAACAAGTTAAAAATCACTTAGGAAAGTTAGATGTCAGCAAGTCACCAGGTCCTGATGAAATGCATCCCAGGATACTCAAGGAGCTGATAGAGGAGGTATCTGAGCCTTTAGCTATGATCTTTGAAAAATCATGGCAGACAGGGGAGATTCCAGAAGACTGGAAAAGGGCAAATATTGTGCCCATCTATAAAAAGGGGAATAAGAACAACCCAGGAAATTATAGACCGGTCAGTTTAACGTCTGTCCCAGGGAAGATAATGGAGCAGGTAATTAAGGAAATCATATGCAAACACTTGGAAGGTAATAAAGTGATAGGGAATAGCCAGCATGGGTTTGTGAAGAACAAGTCATGCCAAACTAATCTGATAGCTTTCTTTGATAGGATAACGAGCCTTGTGGATAAGGGAGAAGCGGTGGATGTCATATACCTAGACTTTAGTAAGGCATTTGATACGGTCTCGCATGATATTCTTATTGATAAACTAGGCAAATATAACTTAGATAGGGCCACGATAAGGTGGGTGCATAATTGGCTGGATAACCGTAGTCAGAGAGTTGTTGTTAACGGTTCTAAATCCTGCTGGAAAGGGATAACAAGTGGAGTTCCTCAAGGGTCTGTTTTGGGACCCGTACTGTTCAATATCTTCATCAATGATGTAGATATTGGGATAGAGAGTACTCTTATTAAGTTTGCAGATGATACCAAACTGGGTGGGGTTGCAACTTCTTTGGAGGATAGGGACATAATTCAGAATGACCTTAGCAAGTTAGAGAAATGGTCAGAGGTAAACAGGATGAGGTTTAATAAGGAGAAATGCAGAGTGCTCCACTTAGGAAGGAACAATCAGTTCCATACATACAAGATGGGAAGCGACTGTCTAGGAAGGAGCATGGCGGAAAGGGATCTAGGGGTCATAGTGGACCACAAGTTGAATATGAGTCAACAGTGTGATGCTGTTGCCAAAAAAGCAAATATGATTCTAGGTTGTATTAACAGGTGTGTTGTAAGCAAAACTCGTGAAGTCATTCTGCCGCTCTATTCTGCACTAGTTAGGCCTCAGCTGGAGTACTGTGTCCAGTTCTGGGCGCCACATTTCAAGAAAGATGTGGAGAAATTGGAAAGGGTACAGAGAAGAGTGACAAGAATGATTAAAGGTTTAGAGAACATGACCTATGAAGCCAGGCTTCGTGAACTGGGCTTGTTTAGTTTGGAAAAACGAAGATTAAGGGGGGACATGATAGTGGTTTTCAAATATCTAAAAGGGTGTCACAAGGAGGAAGGAGAAAATTTGTTTCTCTTGGTTTCTGAGGACAGGACAAGGAGTAATGGGCTTAAAGTGCAGCAGGGGAGGTTTAGATTGGACATTAGGAAAAAATTCCTAACTGTCAGGGTGGTCAAATATTGGAATAAATTGCCAAGGGAGGTGGTGGAATCTCCCTCTCTGGAGATATTTAAGAACAGGTTAGATAGACATCTGTCAGGGATGGTGTAGACAGAGCTTGATCCTGCCTTGAGGGCGGGGGGCTGGACTCAATGACCTCCCGAGGTCCCTTCCAGTCCTATTATTCTATGATTCTATAATATTTTAAAATATTATTTTTTCTCTCTCTCTCTTACCTGACACTGGAAAATATATTCAAATTACATATTGCGTAATAAAATTGTCTTTCACACAGCCATTCTATTACAGGAATTATTTCCATTTCTTCTGCTTTGTGTACTACAGAAAACTAGAAAATTGAAATAAGAAATAGTCATTACTTTATCTTAAACAGGAGTTCAAGAACCATTATGTAGTTTTCACAATTGCAATACGTAATTTATCAGCTACACAGTGATTCTGACATTTTATTAACAAATTGCTCTAATAAACAAAATCTGGTTAGTAATAGTAGCACAGCAGCTGAAAGAGTTACTATGCTTTCTGTAGATTTCTCTCTGATCTTTCAGAGAAGATAGCAGCTCCTATGATCAACTCAAGAGATCAAATAAAGCAGGTAATTGTTCTGCATCAATCATTAATCAGCAAATTATGCCTTCTTTCAGCTGGGTCCAAACAGTAAAAGCACAGGGCTTCCTGTAGTTTAAAGATTTCACATAAGGATTGAACTTCAGGAAGCTCTGAGTCCTGAAAGAGGTCTTTTAGGTATTCTATCCCAGAATATTGAAGGACCAATAGCTTAAACTTGACAATGTTCAGATAGATAGCCATATTAGTCTGATCTTGGTAAAACAAAAAAAGCAGTCACGTAGCACTTTAAAGACTACCAAGATGGTTTATTAGGCAATGAGCTTTCGTGGGCAGATCCACTTCTTTAGATCAAGGGTTCCCAAACTTTTTGACACGGGGACCAGTAAATCCATTCACAAGCTTTTGGAGGACAGGTAACATTCATTTGCATATTTGCATATCAGTAAGCAAATGATGAATATGCAAATACATTGTTTCTGGTCCTCCCAAAACCCCCAGTGCCAGCATTAGCAAAGCTTTTGATACAGTCACCCACAGCAAATTAAGGGAATATGGATTGGATAAATGGACTGTAAGATGGATAGAAAGCTGGCTAGATCAGGGTTTCCCAAACTTTTTACTTTAGTTGGAACCCATTTTTTTTCAGTACTGTCTTTTGCAGCCCAAAAATATAAACGCATATAAAAAAAAAGAATGAAAAATGAATAAATTTTCAGTGTTTCACCCGACTGTATCCTCCACCGAGCCTGGATCAGGGCTTGGGGGACCTAGCGCCGCATTGTGCAAGGAAGGGTAGGCTTGCCAGGTGTCCGGTTTTGTACTGGACAGTCCGGTATTTGAAGGTTTTGTCTGGGAAAGAAATTGAGACATTACCAGACATAGTAAATGCCTGGTATTTTCTAATTAGGTACATTTTATTATAATCAGGTGTATTAGTCCTTAGCTGCCTGGCTGGTAGATGTGCTCACGCTGTCTGAGTGTGTCTGTCTACCAGGCAGTTCGCAACTACTCCAGGGAAGGTGTGTGTGGGGGAGGGAGGAGGGAAGGGGGAGGGCAAAATGGAATCCCCGGCCAGACTCACTCGTCTGCCAGGGTCTGCAGGGTCTGCATGTGCCCAGTTCAGTCCCGCTCCCCCCCCTTCTCTTCCCAATCTCCCCCGTCCAGCCCTGCTTCCCCTGTCCAGCTCTGCTTCCGGCAGCTGATTCTCCCATCCTCCTCCTCCTGATCTCCCCGGACCAGCCCCCCTGGCTCCTGTCCAGCCCAGGTTCCGCCGTCTGACCTCTCCAATCTCCTCTGCCGGACAGCCCTGCTACCTGCAACTCTGCTTCTGCTGCCTGCCCCCCTGCCCCCCCACACACATCTCCGCGGGACAGCCCCGCCTCCCGCCCGCCTGCCTGGATCTCCACGCTACAAGCCCACTGCCCTCAGCCCTGCTTTTGCCACCCGCTCGCCTGCATAGATCTCCATGGGACAGCCTCACTGTCCACAGCCCTGCTTTTGCCGGCTGCCCACCTGCCTGCCCGGATCTCTGCGGAACAGCCCTGCTGCCCCAACACTGCTTCCCAGCAGCCAGTTCCCTCCTCCCCAATCTCCTCCCAGCCCGCTCCGCTCAGCTCCCGGCAGCCATGCTGAGGCCTGGTATATTTTTCCCGCAGCCCAGTACTGGGCCGCGGCCCATTGGTTGGGAAATGCTGCTTTAGATCATATTCTGAAAGTGAATTGGCATGACTATTATATAACAGAGGGATACAATGAAGAACTAAACAAATTACACAGTAACGAATCAGCTACATAGAACAGAAGGTGCCGGCAATAATCCTCTGCAATGTACATTGTACAAACTGGTCTGTCACTTTGCCAGAGAATCAATGCTCACAAATCAGACATCAGACATCTCCACACAGAGAAACCTGTTAGCCCACTTTTTAATCAAACTGGCCATTCCCTTAAAGATCTGAGAACATGCGTCTTACTAGGAAGAGACTTTAACACCAGATTACAGAGGGAGATTTCAGAACTTTTATTTATGCTAAAATTCGACAGGTTGCGAACGGGCCTTAATTTAGATGATAATTACCTTACACATTACAAAGACAGCCTCCCCACCTTTTGATATTCTTAGTAAATCCAGATTACCCACTTAATTGACTCTTACAATAAGCAATTTCCTCCTTCCTTGTCTCTTCCTTGTTCCCTATCCCCCATCTTCTGTTCTATGTAGCTGATTCAATACTGTGTAATTTGTTTACTTCTTCATTGTATCTCTCTGTTATATAATGGTCATGCCAATTCACTTTCAGAATATGATCTGAAGAAGTGGGTCTGCCCCACGAAAGCTCATCACCTAATAAACCATCTTGTTATTCTTTAAAGTGCTACATGACTGCTTTTTTTTTTCAATCAGAGTGAGGGCTGTATTATAAGGCCATTAAAGGAATAACAAAAAAAATAGACTAAAACACTTGAAAGAGGCAGATGTGATAAGGTTTACCAGAACTATTTGCAAAGGAAAAATGTGACATGAATAAAAAAAAAATTAGCATCAGGATTGAGTAGAACTGGATGGACATAATTTATTAAGCTTTTTAAAAGGTCCTGTATAATGTCCCTGAATAAAAGGTTGTATATGAGTTCTGGTGCTGCTTAACACCTATACCAATTATCTGGAAACGGGGCAAACAGTGGCATAGCAAAAATTGCAGATAATAGTGTTACTTAGGTTAGTCAAATCCATAGACTGTGAGGAACTTCAAAAGGATTTAACAAAATTAGATGAATGAACAACATGAGAGCAGACTAAGTTCAACATGTAAAAGTACAGGCAATCCCCGGGTTACGTACAAGATAGGGACTGTAGGTTTGTTCTTAAGTTGAATTTGTATGTAAGTCGGAACTGGTACATATTGTAGGGGAAACTCTAGCCAAACATTTTTTTTAGTTTTGGATAGCATAGGGAAAGGTTAACTCCCCTCTAATGTTTGTTTTGCTGTCTGTTCCCCTGTTCAGAAGATTTCACATCTATTTCTGTCCCTGTGACAAACTCAGGACTAAAAGAGTAACTCATCAAATACCAAACAGCTCTGCACCATGCTTTGAGCTAATAGCTTTATTTCCACACACCACCCAGGGTTCTAGGAGGAGGGTCCTTTTTTTGCTAACACAATGAGGCCAGCACTTTGTTTGTTTTGGTGGAGTCTTTGTTTGCCCAGGGAGCCCAGCATGTATAGGGGGAGGAGGGGCGGAGAGGCTGCTTTTGTCTGCTGTTCGCCAGCCTGTTGCTCAGGGGAGGGGGCAGCCTGTTGCTGGCAGGGGGGGGCAGCGGGCATGGGGAGGCACTTTTCCTCTGCCCGGCAGCTCTGCGGGATCCCTGTCCCTGTGGCCAGCTGCTGCAGGCAGAGGCCAGTTGGAGCCGGCCGAAGAGGAGGAGGAGGTGGATTCTAGGACCCAGGTGAGCGAGCCCCGGGAATGCTGCTGCGCATGTGTGGGAGTTGCCTCACCCCGTTTGTATCTAGGGATCCGACGTAAGTCGGATCCACGTAAGTCGGGGACTGCCTGTAATGCATGGTTGAAGTAACAATTTCAGGTAACCAATCTAGGGTTATAAATTAACTGTAGGAACTCAGAAAACTGATGTAATCATTATTTCAGTAGCACCTCTTCTAAGAAATACGTTACTTAATAATTGTTGCTCTTTGCTAGTTACCTCTGTGTACTCACACTTGTTTGATATAGTCTCCTAGGTGCTGAATTGCAGAACTGTCTCAAAATGCTGGTATTGACTTCAGCATGAGGAGTTCATAAAGACATCTAGAATTCAGATTATTTGGGGATATACGCTAACTAGTGGTGATGTCAACTGGGAATGCCTGACAATATATCATAAGAAGAGGTTACTCACCTTCGGTGCAGTAACGATGGTTCTTCGAGGTGTGTCCCCGTGGGTGCTCCACGTCTGGTGTCGGGCTGGTCCCGGCACCGCGAATCGGAGCTTGCCATAGCTGTAATCGACCGGGTCGCGCATGCGCGAGTAGCGTTCGCGCCTTTGAACAGCCGCGCGCGACCCGGTCCCCGCCAGTTCCTCTCACCGCCATCTGAAAAAGATAATAAAGAAGATTCCGTAGCGGGGAGGAGGGCGGGTCGTGGAGCACCCACGGGGACACACCTCTAAGAACCATCGTTACTGCACCGAAGGTGAGTAACCTCTTCTTCTTCTTCGGGTAGTCCCCGTGGGTGCTCCATGTCTGGTGACTCCGGAGCAGTAATCCACTAAACGTGGGCTACGGAATCACTAGTATTGTGGCTTGGCAACACCGCTGAGGCTAGGGCCGAATCAGAAGCCAAGCGCTGCACTATTGCGTAATGCCTTGCAAACGTTGTGCTGGAAGACCATATAGCAGCACGGCATATGTCGCGTAAAGGTACCCCTCTAACAAAGGCCGTTGACGTAGCCATCGCTCGTGTCGAATGAGCTCTAGGGTGTGATAGAAGCGGTTTCTTGGCCATGTTATAGCAGGTAGTAATACAAGAAACGATGATCTTCGAGATACGTTGGGCAGATAAGGCTTGACCTTTAGAGTGTCCCAGGGTGGAGACAATGAGACGATCCGTTTTCCTAAATGCACGGGTTCTATCTATGTAGAAGGTGTGCAAGAGGGCGTTCTGTCTCGACGTGTGAGGTTTCGGATAGAAGCTTGTCAGAACGATCGGCTCATTGATGTGGAACTCAGTACAGACCTTCGGTAGGAAGGCTGGGTGCGA